TAAAAAAGGTAGGGTGTTAAAAGTCAGGGCCTGAATTCAGATATTGAATTCAGGCCCAACAAGCATGGGGGTGTAATATTGAACTAATGAGTAAAACTGGGGGTATTTTTAGGAGATTGGGCCCAAATTCAGATGTTGAATTGGGCCCAGGGGCAGGGGTGAATTGATGTTTGCTGGTTAGCAATTCAAACAATGGGGGTATAAAAATAAATGGGTTGGGCCTAATACATGTTTGAAAGGAGAGGCCGGTTGGACATGGTGCGCGAGGGTATACAAAAATTACGGTGGACTTGGCCTTACGGTCGTCCGATACAAATCAAATGGACCAAAATGAAAGTGCACTTTAATTACTGTGTATGCGCGCGTACGAAAGAACAACAGAACATAAAAATTTGTTTCTTACATTTTGTTTTTTCATTTTCAGTTAACCTTCCTCTCGTTTTCCCTTCATCTTCTTCTCCTTATAGCCCTTTCTCTAACCCTAAACCTAAAGCTCTTCGTGGTGGCGCTACAACATAGCCTGATACCCTCTATTACAACCACCCAACAAAACCCCAAATACAAGAATAAAAAAGAGAGTTGAGTCTTTACCCTTTCGCTATTCGTTTTCTGACTTTGCGCATGTCCAATCCGATACTAATCCCCCTCGGTTTTCTTGATTCGCATGTCTTGGTGAAAGCGGAGTAACAGTGGCGTTTAGTGGTGGAGCGATTAAATTATCAGTGGCGATTAGGGTTTCAGATATTGAAATCCTAATTGTCCCCTTCTCTGATCTTCAATAATAAAGCAAGTGTTTGGTCTTCTTCTGCATTTCTTTTCCAGCAAATCTCCCCCTTCTGTACTTCTTCTTTTTCTTCTGTCCTCCTTCTTCTGCTAATTCTGTATTCTCCTCTCTGATTCTCTCAAAATTCTTCCTCTCCCTTGTACTGTATTTTCTCTTTAGTATTTATAGGGCTTTATTTTTAGGGTTTCACCAGATTTGTAGTTACGAGTTTGTTAACATAGATTTAGGGTTTTTAGAATAAATTAGGGATTTGTAATTCTGTTCTAATTGATTGTGGGATTCTGTATATGATTTTGTACATTGAATGTAATAGATTTTGATTTAGTTTTAGCTTGATTTGTTCTATTCTGCGTATTTAGATTTGATTCAATGAAAAGATATATTTGATTTGCACAATAAATGTTAATTGTACAAAAATGTGCGCTTTTCTGGCTTAGATTGAAACAATAATTGTTAGTACCTTTGGGCTTTGCATTACTTTCTCAAACAGATATGCGAAAAGGCTATTGGGCCTCAAAGTGTCCAGCCCAACACGTTACTGTTTTTTATCGTTACAATAATATTTTTGTTTGCCACCGCATGGGCCTGAAATGGGTCCCTTCTTTTGACCCAACAACAATTTCTTTTAAACACAACAATCTTGTTTAAAAAATCTTTTAATAAAACATTTAATAGACTAACTGTAATGAAAAAGTTTAATAATAACAGTGACAATAATTTTCTAAAAATGAAACAAATGGGCCCAGATTGTATCTGTTGTCTGGGCCTAAAACGTGCACCACCTCTTCTTTACTACTCAATAATTTAGAACAAAATGGGCCTGTTGAAGAAAAAGAACCTAGTGGGCTTGTAATTTGAAATTGTACTTTTTGCTAATTAGTCAAAAACGAAATGGGTCATGCAAATTATGATGGACTTTTAAATCTCGCCCCTCCTTTTTACTAACAACAACAATATGGACTTAATAATAACTAAACTTAATAATATTTCTGCAATAACTTTCCATACTCGAATCCCATGGGCCATTGGCCAACATGTGAATGAACCTACGGGTATATGGATCTTTCTGATTTAGAAAGCCCCACTTCATTGAATTAAAATACACCTCCTAGTTTACTTGGATTTAAGAATGAGCCATTAAATATTGTTGAACCATCCTTAATTAAAATATCTCTCTTGTATTTTTAATCTTGAAAAATATGATCGTAGAGGTAGGGAAAATTTGGGGTACGACACTTTGGAAATGTTTTGAATCATGTAATTAGGTCAAGACATTATGTTTGAGCCCTTGAGATCATGCTTCAAGTCATTAGGTCATGTACTAGGTCAAAAGTCAATGATCGGTCATTCTCAATCAAAATCCTAATTTTGACAATTTTGCCTATTTGGTGATCTGAGGGTCTTCCTTGAGGAATTATGATTAACCCTTTATCAAATGATGAATAGGGCTTCAAAATGTTGATGTTAACCAAAAATCTTGAAGTTTGACTGTATGTTGACCACATTTGACTTTTTATCCAATACAGCTGATTTTCAGTCATCTGAGCAATTGACTTAGCAAATTTGTGATGCAAGGCCTGAAACTTGATATGAGCATTCTTGGAGACCTATGATGAACAATGAAAGTTACTTGAGGCATTAGAAGTCCAATTTTATTTGAGAAAACCAAAACCCTAGTTCTGGACCCAGTACTTAGGAGGTGAGCTTGTCTGATCAATTCTTGAGAATCCTTGAGCATTTGAGAACTTTTGTGAGAAATGTCTTGAAGAAAAGGGAGGGAAAATTTTGGGGTACAACACCAACCAACTGAGAATATAGCGTGTTATATTTGAACCTGTGTTCCAACACCGTGATACTATGACCAAATGTCATCTGTATCTCGTTATGTTTGTTTAGTAGCATCTGGTTCACAGATTCCCAACCCGTAATAAAATCACCCTTGTTATTTCCCAACCAATTCTTCAGATATGCATGCGCAGACTTAACTCGGTTTGTTATTGTATTACCGAGGTGCATAACCTGATTGGTCCAGGCACAAACAACCTTCTCCTTAACCTGATCAAGAATTGTGGTTTCAACATATTTCAATAGATCGGGATATTTCTCGCAAACATTCCTGAACTGCAAAACAGAATCAACGTATAACTCTTTTGTAGATGTATTTATTATAACATTCCATGCATCCATAATTTTCTCCACAATGACGCCCGCCTTGACCAATTTTCCATCTTCACCTGCAACATGTTTTGTCCCCACCGCAGGTTTAACCCGACTTCTCACATTTTTAGTAATATGGTACCTACAAAGTAATACGTAAGAAGTGGGAAATACAGTTGCAACCTAATTCATTAATGTTGTATCTCGGTCGGTAACAATGACTTTCGATATATCTTCTTGATCCTTCAATATTGACCTACAAACCTCTAAAGCCCATGCAAAGTTGTCCTTTTTTTCGCACTCTAGAAATGCAAAACCAACAGAATACGTCTTCTCAGTCGATGTAACACCAACAATTTCCCACAATGGAAGCCTGTACTTGTTGGTCTTATACGTTGAATCAATTATGAGCACGGTAGGAAACGTATTGAACAATTTAATGGAATCAGGATGAGTCCAATAAATATCTCTTACTGTTACCACATCATCACCTCGTCGGCGCCTACAAACATAATTGTTTTCATCTAGAAGTTTCAAGAGGTGTTGTATCTCGGTTCGATCCTCCCTAAGCGCTATTTTGGTTTGATAGCGCTTATTGTAAACTTGTTTGATATTTGATGTGTTCTCGGGTCTTTTGCGCTTCAAGGATGAAAATATGTTTTTTAGCGGTACCAAATTCAAAGTCCTATCAAAAACACACGTCTTCTCATCTGGAAAGAGCCGACATGCAATTGGATGACCAACTAACTTTTAACTTAAATCATGATTGTGTAAACCGCATATCACGTTATATTTCCATTTCTTATTTTCCATAAGATAACCACACAACCTAAATGGACATTCACATTTTCTTGAACCGGTGTTGTCGCGTTTCAAATTTTGGATACGATGTATGTATTTCCCCTTCTTTCGCATGTCAAAATCACAAATGTATTTCTTCTATCCGTACCATTATCGGGCCTTCAAATCACAACACCAAATCCTAGTTCCATAGCCTCTATACGAATTCACTGCAACATGTCTTCACGTAATTCAAATTCTTCTAAATTTTCAAATTGCTCACGAACATCTACCACCTTAATTATGAGAAGAGAAACTACGAGAGGCGAAACAACTTGAGACACATCAGGTTTGAGAATGTTATCGGGGTGCACCATACCTAATGTTAGATAAAACACAAAACTTATTAACATGTCGCATTGACATATTGCTGTCAAAATAAACACAGACAGAAACCAGAAGTTAACTTCCGGTTCTGTTCAACTAACTACCGAAAGTATACATCCGGTTTGTACGTAACCTTTTTCTACAGAAAACAACAGATTAATGTAGGGAATAGATGTTGGAATGAATAAACTTTACCTGAATTTCTACTTTCTTGAGCTCTTTCTGATATGATGAACCATAAAAATGATGATTTGGAGTGGAAAGTGGATCGTGAATGACGAGGGTTTTTGAGAGATTTTAAGGAAAGAAAGAAGAAATGGTGGTGATCAAACATGACCATACTGGTTACTTCCGGTTATATATAAAATGTCAAGGTGACAACAAAATTCAATCTTCCCCTAATAGAATCGGAAAGAGAATTCCAGTTTAAAATAGAAAATATATCTCCGGTACCATTTTTTGTATTTTAAAAGATGAAACCATATTTAGTCTGTCTTGTACAAAATATGATACGAAATTTCCGTTTTTTTGAGAAACAATTTCGAAATTACTTTATTTTTCATATGGATGGGAGTAAGAAATTCAGTTAATTTTAACTCTTACGGTTCAATGAAATTGATGTAAGATTCTCACTCACTCTTACGGTTCAATGAAATGAAATTGATGTAAGATTCTCAGTCACTCGTGAGTCCACTGTCCACTCCCCCTATTCAAGAGACGTGGCGTCACAGTCATATCTTTTCCTTTCTTTTATTTTATTTATTTTTACGTATATTTTTTTCTTCTTTTTAAATCAAACACTCTCGTTCCCTCACTTCTCACTTCTCACTCTCCATTGTCCATTCCCTTACCATTTTCCGTCTGTTCGTTACAGTTACCGATAAAGTTTGTTATGGTGTCTCTTCCGCCATCAGTAGAAAATCTAGTAGAACAAATTCGCATCAAACAATCGCAACCTCAACTTGATCCTTTAGCCAAACGACGCCTCGCTGCAATCGGAGAGCAACAAGCTCTTGATCTTCTTAAGCAAATTTCCAATTCTAAAATTGAAAACCTTAATGGTTTCGTTATGTTCATGCTTAAACAACCTCCTTACTCTCTCTCACCTTCTAAACCTCCCACTCCCTCACCCTCACCGTCACCGTCACGTCTCTTTCCGTCACCGTCTCCGTCGCCGTCAACTTCCTCTTCCGGTGTTCTGACGGCGTTAGGAGAATTAGAGTTTCGAAAATCGTTTCTGCTACTAAGTTACGCGGGAGGGTAACAACTTTAAACTTTTATAGTTTATTTTCAGTTATTTTATTTTATTTTTTTAACTTGTGATTTTTTTTTATACAGAAGGAGTATTGAAGATGTTGTGAGTGCTGAATATGTTAGAAGCTTGAAAGACTTGCCGATGAAATTTTTTGAGAATGAGATATGGGAAGCTGTGGGGAAAGAATGCGTTGATCGTCCTAGTGATCGCCAACTGGTAAAACAGCATCTTGTTATCATGCATGTTAAACAGTTATGGTAGTTCTAGTTTTTTTGGTTTAGTAATGCTAGTAGTGCTTTGAATTGAAATTGAGTGAAATATTGTTAGGGTAAAATGAAGTTGAATAGAGTTAATATCGAACCCACATGAATAGATTTTATAGTTCTAGAAATGACTGTATTAAATAGAGTGTTGGGGTAGCACATTTAGTAGAAAAGATGGTGGAAAATGGTACTAGGTGGTTTGGGTATGGTAGAGAGAAGATCCGTAGATTATGTGGCAAGGAGTATTTTAAAAGAAAACATGTTGGTGAAATGATGTTGAATAGATTTTTTACTTCATTTGAAAACCTTTTTCATTTATATATCAAACCCGCTATAATAGAATTTATATTTCTAGAAATAACAGTATTAAAGAGCGTGTGGTTACACTTATAGTAGAAAAGTTGGTGAAAAATAGAGTTAGGTGGTTTTTGCATGTAAAGAGAAAATTTGTAGATTCTTTGGCAAGAAGAGTAGATCACATGGAGAGAATTCAAACAGTTAGAGGTAGAGGAAGACCTAGAAAAACTATAAGAGAAGTTATTAAGAATGATCTTAAGATTAACGATATGAATAGAAACATGGTCCTAAATAGAATATTATGACGGAGATATCTATGTAGCGGACCCTACTTAGTGGATAAGGCTTGGTTGTTGGTTGTTGTTGTCTAGCACTTCAGCAAACACATATGATCACCTCCAGCCACCACTCTAACATTCACGACCACTACTTTGATCACATTTGACCTGGTTTTAACTTGTCATATTATTGATTATAGTGGCAGTAGTCGCGTTATATATTCATAGTTGAATTTTAACTTTAACTAAGCATTATTTTCTAAGATACACGATTTAATGCAAAATATTGTGAAATAGCGGCTATCGAAACATTATAACCATGGACTGATTCCAGGATCTAGAATTTAAAATGCTGATATGAGGCCTCTCTAACTCACTCAACATATTCTTTATTGTTGAATACAGTTTGAGTGGATCAATTGCTTAAATAATGGGTCACACCAAATAAAAAATGAGAACTATATGATTTAGTGAAACTCATGCGATTTTCAGCCTGTATGAGTGTGTTAACTAATTTGTGTTGGAGATTGTGTTGCTAGAATTGCATATTACCCGATATTGAAACTAGATTCTAGTTTTCTCCTTTTAAGAGTCTTTCTCAATACACAATGCTATAAGTGACTGTTTTGTATTCAATTTCAACAGCAAATGTTAACTTTGGTTTCTTTCTGCAGTATAACGAATGGGATTCGGGCAGGACACCTATATACCAGTGCTATGTTTCTGCAAATGGGAGCTTGAGGTTCAAGGTTTGTATGTCTCTCTTCCTTTAGATTTGTGTACTGTGAAATTTTTGTCGTTGTGATTGTACCTGTTTCGCCATTCGTTGCCTTTGATGCTATGAAGCTTTCTATTAGTATAGAAGTAATAATAATATTAACAATCGTAATAGTTAATGCATTAGAGTTATTGTCCTGAATCAATAAACTTTATTCAGAATTTTACACAGTCCATGATTTAATTCCTTTTTCAACCGGCTATTTTGATACTAAATGTGGTTTATTTTATTTATTGCCTTTGGTTGAATTATTCAGGGCCCTATTTTGCAACACACACGAACACACCTGCAGAAGTCTCTAGGCGATGACAATGTTTTGCTTGTTAAATTCGCTGATCCTCATACTGGAAAGAAATCAAAGACCAGTGTTCAAGAAGCTGCCAATCACTATGGGAAGTTTGGAAAAGAAGGGATCCGTGTTGGGCTTCGTTTGTATCGATTTTTTGGTAATCCTGTTACTTTCATGTTTTAAATCAATTTTTTAGTCATCCTGTTTGTTAGTTGCTAGTTTTAACTTGTTTCTTAAGCCTTTTTAGGGTTTCTACTTTCTATGATATTGAATCCATGCATTTTTCATTTGAACATATGGTCTAGGCTGCAATTTTACAACCTGTCCAATCTACTATTGCATCTGTTTTCCTCCCATGTTATGTGATTCATTATACTCAGCGGATTTCTCTGTAGTCTGACACTTGTATAGTCATTTTTTAAAACACATTTCTGAATTTCGCTTGCTCGATAATGTTCTTTAATTATATATGATCCAAACTATCATGCATTGAGTTAATTTGTGTGGAAGCTACAACTTTATTGTGTACTTTATATATAGGTTAACATTATCACAGTCTCAAATTTGAAAATATTGTTCAATTAGATATAGTTATAGGTTCCTTAGGATTGCTAGTACTTTCTCAAGTTAATTTTATTACTTGTGGTGAATATGCCTGCCTGTCTTCACTTCTCTCAACCTTGCGTTGCTTCGGGGTCATTTCAGTCATTGGCTGCGAAAGCATTCTTCAATCATCACATTGTCATGGTCTTGTGTGAGGTGCTGTCTCTTGAGATGTTAAAGAAACTACTAGTGACTTAAATACGTGTTTTTAAATTTTCTACCGATTGAACAGTTTTCAAAGATGGTGGAAAGGAAGAGAAGAATAAGGATTCAACAACTTCATCAGTCAAATGTTATTTTGTTAGGACAGAATCATATTGTTCGGCAGATGAGAGGGCATCTTACCTTTTGTCAAATAGGACAATGTTTGAATCTAGATCTTTATTTATGCATGCACACATGTTACCCAACATTGACAAGTATATGGCTAGGTATGATATTTGTGTTGATCCTATCTTAAAGAGTTTCTTTATGTTTTCCTTCATCCACTTTCTTGAAATAGATTTGACCCCATGACTAACCTCGTAGTTAATCAGGTTTTCTCTTATTCTATCAAAGACCTTTAAGCTTAATATTGACTTGGCAACTGTGAATGTCCAAACAATACCAGATGAACAATGCCAGGTATAGTCAATATTTAAGTCACCTAATAAGGTTTTATAATTTATCTCATGCTTTCAGCAAAATATTTTGTTTTGTTGCAATTTCTTTTTGCTGGTTCAGGATGGAAATGGCATTCCTGTCTATCATAATGAGAAACCATGTATTCTCACAGACGGAACTGGGTTCATCTCAGAAGATTTGGCGGTACTCTGCCCTAACAACATTGCAGCAGGAACAAACTTGAATAATACATATATTAAGGTCTCTTTTCTCTCAATTTTTTTTTCGCATTATTTTTTTTCCAGCTAACTCTGTATATTGGTCATTGGTAATATGTTAAAAATCCACTCAAAGAAAAATTGTATTATGAATTTGCCATTACGTTTCTCATCACTGCCTCATTCATGGGCTATTTAGCTTCATTTCATCATAATCATTTACTGGCTTCTTTTACTTTTTATAACTAAATAAGTTTTTCTTGATTCTCATGTTTATACTCTTCATGTTCCTCTCTGTTCATTTATGGTTGCACGTAATAAATTCTTTTATCAAAAAAGTATATTTTCCAAAGGGGTGGTTCAGCTTGAAAAGTTAAAAAAAAAAAGATGAAAATGATTCTTCTACTGTACGTACATGCTGTCTTTTATGGACAAAAATGATTTCATTATATATGCTATTTTTGTTAGCTAACCACTTTTTTCTTTTATTTTGTTCCTAAATTTCTCTCAATAACTTTGACTTGCGTGTTGTCAGATATATTTCAATGAAATTTATGATCTAATTACCTTTTTCTTTGATTCTGAACTATATGACTTCTTTCAGGACATTTCCAATCTGGTTGAACTTGGGGATACGAGTAAGGCTATGGGAGAAACAACACTCAGCACACATCAGCCAGTAGATGCTTTGTTTTCTTTAGCCTATTTCTTATTTCAGTTACATGTTTTATATGCATGCATTTGGAATATTCATGGACATTATTACTATAATATAACTTATCATTTTTCCTCATCCTATTTTTAAGCCACTGTTGATTCAGTGCCGTCTCTTTCACATGGGTTGTGCACTGAAGGGAACTCTTTTGGTTAACAAAAAGGTATTCTTTTTACGGGTTATATTGATCAAGGAAATTTATACACTTAAGTATATTTTTATGAATTACATTTTGGAAGACCTAGTTTATTTCTAAGTTTGTGTTTACTGGTTTTGAAGCTTTCATGGTTAATAAGTTTTAAATAATTATTTGTATTACATGGACGTCATGCAATATAATTTAGGAGCTTGGAATTTAGTATGGCAAAATGGATAAGATTAGCAATATGTTTATTTAATAATTAACAATATAATATTGGTGGTCATTTAGAGGAGTATGTGAGAGGTTTTGTTGAACTGTATAATCTAACATTGAACACCATAAAATACATGGTCTCTATTAGAGTAGTACCAGTAACTACTGAGGATTTGTTACAGTGCCCTCTCTTTGACAGCTGTAAGTCTTAAAGCTGTCCAGTAGAATTTTCTTTCAACTTTGGGAATCACATTGATATCACAGAACTCTGAAACCTTTAACCATTTCAAGAGTTGATAATTCAGAAAGTTTTCGTTGTTTTATACATAAGCTTCTTTTGGATTTGTTTGTATTTTTCTTATTTAACTATGCATCCATTGACTATGATATTGTATCTTTGAATCTTGAAGCTTCCTCCAAGAACAATACAGGTTCGGCCTTCAATGATCAAAGTCGAAACAGACCCGAACCTTTCAAATACTCGGAGCTTAAATTCGGTGGAGGTGGTAACTACAAGGTATTTCACCTTTTCAATTTAGCCGGGTTGATATGATCCACTCTTGCAGCTAGGGTGTTAGTTGGGGGATGTGTTGATCATGATAATGCTTGTTGACATGATGGATTATATTGATGTCTATTGGGGGATGCATGAATCAATGGTTTACCTGGTCAAAGCAGGAATCTCTTGAGAATAAAACAGAATAGAAGGCATTTTTTATTTATCACGAACAATTAAAACCTTTTCATATCAGGTGAGATCAGCTAGGGAAATTTATCCGGCTACAGTTCATTTATTTCTCTTAGTAACATACATTATCATTTGATGTTGATATGCTGATTCTAAGTTGCCTAACCAACTTGTTTAATGCTAAAAGTTGTTTGGAGCTAGACTAATCTTTTGTATTCATGAGCGCAAAATGTTTTTGCTTGAAAAAAAACCCTGATGTGAAGCCTCCTCCATGTTTCAGCCACAAACCAAATAAATCATATTTATCTAAATATTTGATCGCACTTCTAAGCTATGGAGGAGTTCCAAATGAATTCTTCATGGATCTACTTAAGAATAATTTAGAAGATTCCGACCATATTTATACCAATAAGCGCGCTGCCCTCAGAGGTAGTTTTCTTAAATACTTCTACTTACCAACTATTAATGCACATCGGTCATATTTAAGATAAGCTTCTGTTTGTTGAGATTTGAGTTTAATTGTTCGACTACCTAAAATTTGTCAGAATCCTCCTTAACAGTGGTTTTCAATTGTCGATGCACTCGCAGTTTCTGTCAACCATGGTGAGATGGATGAATACAATGCTGCAGGAATGATTTTATGTGGGATTCCTCTTGATGAACCATTTCTTCAGCATTATCTATCTAGACTTGTAAAAGCGGAAAAAAAAAACCTCGGAGGAGGGAAACTATATTTAGAAGATTGTTTCTATGTGATGGGGACTGTTGATCCCACGGAAAATCATTGCTTGAAGGAGAATCAAGTTTGCATTATTCAGTAAGCATAAATATACTATCCAGACTCCTCTCTTTCACCTGTCCCCATTCTGTTATTCTCCCTCACCTCATTCTCTCAATGTGTGCCCTTTCAATCATATTCAACCATGTGTACTTCTTAGTTTTATTGTGAAAATATTGTTTGAAATTCAAACTACGAGGCCTGAGTGTTGACTGGTTAAACCTTTTTTTCTTTCTTGGTAGTGAAAATGGCCAAATTACTGGAGATGTGCTGGTTTATCGAAATCCAGGTTTACATTTTGGGGATATTCACATAATGCAGGCCACACATGTGAAGGGATTAGAATCTTATGTTGGCCATGGCAAATATGCAATTTTTTTTCCACGTGTTGGACCTCGCTCTGTAGCAGATGAGATAGCTGGAGGTGATTTTGACGGTGACATGTACTGGGTGTCAAAAAATCCTCAGGTTTCCATTTCAGTTTTAAAGCCTTCGTTATGTTTTTATTTGCTCTATTATTAACATTGAAAGAATTGTGCTTTGTGTTTTACCATCATATCTTTTTGTGTTTACTATCATACATATAGCTGGAATAGATAATTAATAATTGTTTTATATTAACCATTTATCTTTTGAAATGTTTCAGCTGTTGCAATATTTCAAGAAGAGTGCCCCTTGGATAGAAAGTTCACCATGCAATTCTGTAAGATTGAGTTCTAGTGTTAAAAAGCCAAGTGAGCTTTTAGATGTGGAACTTGAGGAAGAACTTTTTAAACTATATCTGGAAAATCGGTTTCAATCGAGGTGGGTGTTACATTGTATATAAAATTCCAAAACTGTATATGTCTTAGATGTTTCTCTTCTGCTTATAGCCTGAAAACCTTTTAACGGAACAGTACCCGTGTTACTCTAATATAACATTAAGGTTTGTCATCTTGGTTTCCTGATGTAATATTTTGCGAGGACATAGTTAGGCCTGTATATGTGTTGTATATATGCTTGTTAGATAATCCCATTTCTGCTTGTGACCTGAAAGCCTTATAATGTATCATATTATGTAGATGGTTCCTGATCAAATAAGTGATACAAAAAAGACATCCGTTAAAGTTATTGCAGGTAGCAATCGTCAGCAAAGACATTTGACCGTTGAAGTGACATTTCATTGCAGTGTTTTTTCTAAATATATTATGCTACCAAGAGTAAAAGAAATTGTCGTAGATGTCCAATTGAAAGTAAGAGTTTTCTCAGTTTTTAATTTTATGATCCTTACCAGAATTTATTTCCCTCTGCTTTCCAGTAACACAGTTGGTATAGCGGCTGATAGTTGGATGGCACTCATAGATCGCCTTTTGATATTAAGAAATGATAGAACTGAAGAAAGGGAGCAGCGGCAAGTAACAGAAAATATACTTAAATTGATTGATATATACTATGATGCATTAGATGCTCCTAAGAAAGGTGGAGCAAAGGTTAGCTTTGTATTATTCTTAATTTTTGTTGTGAAAATCTATCTACATGCAGCTAAACATTTTAGTGTGTCAAGTGTTTTTAAATTGTATTACAGAAGAGTTCTGTATTTAGGGTTTGTGTTTTTGGTCGTAGGATATGATTGATCTTTGAGTGTGCGCAGTACCATGATTGGTTTATTACATTAATACATTTACAGTTACAATCATCCTAAGTAAGAAGCATTGACATGAAAACGTACTCCAGACATACATGATGTTGGCATATTGGCACCGGTTTGTATGTAACATGTCTGTGTCGAACGGTAGACCATCCTTCAACCTGAAAAACCAGTGCTACATACATAGCCATCATCACCTTTATCTACCTTGAGTAATTCTTAGGAGTCCTCAGTCTTAAGTACCACTTTACTAAACTTGAACTTTCAACAACAGATCCAAGTTCCAAATGATTTGATTGTAGAAATGTACCCACACTATATGGAAAAGGACAGATCATTCACTTCAACCTCGATCTTAGGTTCAATATACGACGAGGTTGGCCGATGGCTAACTACTGATACGTCTGGGAATGGTGAGTACTCTATTACACTCATGCTATGGTTATCCACAATTCACTTTCAAGTGTTTTTGACCTTTTTCTTCTTATTCACATGCCATCAGAAATTAGAAAACTTCCCTGTTTTGATGTTGAAATACCTGTGCATTGTACGAAAAAGTGGGAAGCACTGTATAAGGAGTATTTGAATGACATGAGGATTGCCTGCAGTGACACATCTAAGTCCAAAAACGAAGAGGCTACTCAAGTCAATAAGATTTATAAGCAGGTAAACGTTTTTTGGTTAAAATAAGTTTAGTCCTTACAATAACATATTCAAACCATATTTTTTCGATTCTTCTTTCACTAGACATTCCCATTTTTGAGATGCTGATTGGAATCTCTTTTCCAGAAATTTGATGATTATGCTAATATAGAGGATCGTTCGAAGAACATTAGTGATATTTATATCGAGGCTTTGGCTTTGTATCACGTTACATATGACTATGCCATTAAAGTAAAAGAAGTTGCTAGATGTGGCTTTGTTTGGAAGGTTGCTGGTTCAGTTCTCATTAGGTTTTATGCAGAACAACAGTATCAAAAGACTTTGATATGTAATCCATCAGTATTGCGTGAGATTTTTGGTTCATGAAATACATTAATTAACTTATGTTGGAGAAAATTGTATTTTAAGTGCTTGAACCAGTTTAAGGCACTAAAAAGGGGATATATTTTCAACCTGAAATATTGGAAGAAAAGGGAAAGAGATTTACATTACTATTTCTATCAATCCCAAGTTGTATTTATATTTATATGATTAATAGTAGGGGTGTTTGTGGTCCGGTTTGGATCGGTTTTGAGACAAAATATCATCTGATCCAAAAATATATAAAGCATACGGTTTGGTTCGGTTTTTGGATGACAACAAGAAAAATCCAATCCAATTTATACGGTTTCTTCGGTTCGGTTGAATCGGTTTTATTCGGTTTTTAAACCAACACTAATACCAGTTACAATTATGCCACCAACGTCTACTGAGACAATATCTAATTGCTATGTTCATATGGCTATTTGATGTCATTATTGCAAAGTTTCATTATAATATATGTATAATATCTATCTCAACGAAATAAACATGGCTATAATATATAACATATATGGAGATATGCTTAGTTCTTATATGGAGATTTGTATTATAAATTAAATATATGACAAATATATAAAACAGTGAATAAATGAAGATTCCAAAGCTATATTAAAGCGAATATAATAATAAAACTTCAAGAAAAATATCAATAACAGCGATATTAATTTATTTTAAATAATAAATGGCAAGTAAATGGAAGTAATACCGATTTGGTTTGGACCGGTTTGGTTCTCATGAAGCCAACCGTAAACCGAACCGAACCGGTCGGTTATGCTACATGGTGATCCAAATACATCTAAAAAAAATCGGTTTTTTTTTTTATTTCGGTTTTTTCGGTTCGGTTTTTGGATTTTTTTTGAATCGGATTGGATCTGAACACCCCTAATTAATAGTATGTTCAAATATGTAATTTTATGTTCTATAGATTCGATATATACAGAGTCAGATGTTGTCGGTTGTTTTACTACAACTAATTCAATTCGGTTATGCCTTATATACTTGTAACATCCTGTTTACAAAAACAATGACGAAAGATCAAAGCCAAAATGAACATAAAACTGTAACTATTCTAAAAAGTTAGTGTAATATCTTACTAAAAGAAAGGAAATAAGCATATATGAAAAGACATCACATAGAGTATGGGATGCGCATTTAAAGTCCTATAATTTTCAAAGTTTATCGTAGGCATGACATCGAGGCGGGTCGGGACAGTTTTTATCTTTCCTAAACTCAAATTCAAATTTTCAAACAATCTCCGTTTCCCGTCTCAAACTCAAATAGAGATGAAGAATTAAAATTCAAATATGTTTCAAACGGGTTTGGATATCTCCGCGCCGCCACCATCTGTTTAGTGAAATTAATTTTTATAATAGAGATATTTATTTTTTTCCAAAATCAAATTACATTATAAATAGTAAAATAAAACAATTTCAAAAATTTTCATATATACATTTCAAATATTTTAAATAATAAATATAAATCAAAATATCTAAACATTAGTCACATTTCATATTCTAAATTATCAAAATAAATAATAAAGTACGTAATGAAATAAACGGGGCGGGTTCGGGGGCGAATTCAGGGACAGGTTCGGGGTGGGTACTAGTGCTCCATTACCCGACTCGTCCCCATATTTTGTAATCGAGAAAAATTCAAACCCGAACCCAAACCCTGTCAAAGCGGGTTTTCTCCGTCAACTTCGAGACGGGTTCGGATGGATACCCGTGAGTACGGGTTTTGTTGCCATACCTAGTTCAGCATGATAAAGTATAGAAAAAGATATATAGAGTATCAGGTGCATTTAAAGCACAATTTTCATAACAATGACATCACATATTAACTTTTCACTAAAGTTGAACTATGACCGACAAAAGAGGAAAAACACAACAAAACCCTCACCCTATAAGACAAACAATGGCTTAGGTATCTGGATTGGTCAGAAGGCCCAATAACTACGACTCAGAGAGCACATTAATCCACCGCGTCACTCACGGAGCAAAGCTGTTGTCATCCTAGAGTGTAGACGATCTCAATCCAAGATCCATTAGACGGATCTTTGCATTCCACGTTTAAAGATTAAACCGCCCTATTATATAAGAGTGAGACACACCATTTCCCATATACTTTTCAATATAAAATTCATTCACTCATCTTACTCTCACACTAGCATAAAAGATGAAGGCGAAGGCCAATTTATCACGATAGCACAACACCACCACATGAATTTGTTAAGTAACTATTGCAAAATTGAAAGGTTGAAACACCCAAAATTTTCTTTGAATTTAATCTTAATTTTAAATTTGTCAAGAATAAATATGCGTGAGACAAAAAACAATGGCAAATAAACTAAATAGTCTCAAACAACAAAAATAGTTTACAATCAGTGTAAACAAATCCACACCAAGCAAAAGAAAGATAAACGAGGAGAAAACAAAAAAAAATTGTTTATCCAATTTGATTAAACCAATATACTCTAGAGGAAAGAGCAAGTATGTGATTCGCTATACTTTCAAGAATTGTTATAAAAAATTACAAAAGAGTTATAAGAAAATGATATTTCAAATTTTCAAAAACAAATCAAATTTTCTATTCAAGTGTTTCTCAATTTCTCTAACTTTTTATATATCAGTCACATAAGTGTTTTCCAATCCATTTTGATAACACCAAAGATTTTCCATATTCCATTTTTCATATATGAGTCACATAAGTGTTTTCCAATCCATTTTGATAACACATAAGTGTTCCTTTCTAAAAAAATTTGTACTGATTTTCAATTTAAGAGAGCCCTATAGGTAGGATTTCAACATTTTCATTCACATATACTCTCCAACAATCAACCATGTCAGTAGCAATATGTAATATTCTCAGACAACCAACACTAACTACATGGAGTCACATTCACAGATTTACAGAGGTAATTTCTTACTACTAAATATAAAATATTTTTGGTGGTTCATTTTTTTTACTATAACCTGATTCTAAAATTTTTAAAATATTTTTTTATTAATATTATTGTAAGACAAACGTCGAAGTCCCTATAAATTTCTTGTACCACTATTTTGCCGAATTGAAAAATGATTAGCACGCCTATGATGACTACGCAAATCATTTTTTATTACTATGCGACGTAAATATCACAATGTTGTCTATATCAAAAAACTGTTGGAAAAATATTGTAAATGTTTTGGAACTGGATATATAAGATAAAGTTTATTTTGAGTATAAAGAAAACAACGGATTTTATATTAGATGTGAAAAATTGGAGAGTCTTGATTCTTTTACAATCATACACACTACATGTGAGGTAATATTAAAAAAAATTATTTCACAATTTTTTAATATTTTTTTTCTTATTCTCGCTATTAATATTTTGTGTTATCTTAGAATAATACATTTTTTATATTTAATTCATTCTAGATGATCGGTGAAATTGATCTTATATTTGTGCAAAAATTTATACACAATCTACCAGTGCGATGGAATATTTATGATCGTAACAGACATAACCATCTCATGTATTTTGAAGATGTTAGAGTTATAATAACTTGTTTAGGCAACAATAATTTTCAAATTAAAAATTTTTAATTTAATTTCAAATACCAATCAGTATCCAATGTGACATTTATTTCACGATTCATCCTTGTATCATCATCACGTCTATTTCTCATTTGTCATTGATAGAGTTATTTCTAATATTTTTTCATTTAATTTTTTATGTCATATTGTTGGTATTTTATTTCTAATTTTTCATTTTATTTCGTCTTATTTCATTTTATATTTTATTTCGATGATCAAAATATATATTGAATTTTAAATGAATACAAATTTATACGACATCCACGTTTAATTTGATAAATTTAAATTCTTAAATTTAAATGAATAAAATATAATTGGATTTTAAATGAATATAAATTTATACAACATTCACATTCAATTTGATAAATTTAATACATAAATGGACCCCAATTAATATTTAATACTACTATTACTTTACAAATTTTGGATTTAGTGTAATCATATAAATTCAATTCTTTTACCGATAAAGAAAGTACTAGTAGATGTCATTATCACACTAAATCAAATTAATACTGATAAGTCAAATCACAACAGAGTATATTAGTATAATATATTTATACGATTTACTAGGGGTGGACAGAAGAGAACCACCCGAAAATACCCGCCCGAACCGAATGTATATAGCAGCTGCGGATCGGGTTATTTCGGATGCACGGGTTGATCGGGTGAGATAATCGGGTAAGCATGGATAAATCAAGTCGGTTTCGGTTTAATTAGTTGGGCCCGTCGGTACTCGAATCCGACCGGTCCAATTTGATGTGTTCTTAAACGATATGCCCCATTCCATCAATTTTCCTCTTTTCATGTAATTTTCTTCTTCTTCTCAGTTCTAAAAGAAAAACCCTAAAAGACAGTAACAATGTTACCACCGGCGCCGTCACCCCAAGCAAAACCCCTAACGTAAACCATCCACTGCGCCGCCGTGTCGTCCTCAACGAAATCTCTTCCACTGAACAACGAGCTCTACCACTGCGCCGCCGTGTCGTTTCTTTGTTTTCAAAGAGGTTTGTGTTCAGATTTTTATTTTTTATTTTGATTTGTTCTTTTTTCCAATGGATTAGAAACTCGGTATTTATTCTAAACTCGTCATTTTCGTCACATAGGAGAAAGCTTTTTTCTGAGTTCAGTTTTGGTGTTGGAGCTATTAAGGTTCATATAAACTCAGTATTTATTTATTTATTTTCGTTTCAATAGTTCAAATACAATGTTCAGTTTTTGTTGTTTTCAATATTTTAATCACTGTTGTTGTTTTCATTACAGTGTTACTGAGAAATCTCTTCAGAGAATTGAAGAAAGTATGTGTTAGTTTTGTTTTATTTTGTTCTAATAACTTTAAAAGAGTTCAGTTTAAATTTGATTAGCTCTAATAACTTTGAATATATTGTTTTAAATGCAAAGAGGTAAAGAAATGCAAGGAGTTGGACATGGGC